ACGCCAAAGCGCCAAAGCGAAAAGACGAAAAGACGCCAAAGCGCCAAAGCTAAATAACGAAATAACGCCAAAAGGAGGGAGAAAAGACGCCATTTTATCTCTTCGCTTTGGCGTTATTTTCACTTCGGTTTGGCGTTATTTCGTTATTTCGCTTTGGCGCTTTGGCGTTATTTCGTTATTTAGCTTTGGCGCTTTGGCGTTATTTCGTCTTTTCGCTTTGGCGCTTTGGCGTCTTTTCGTTATTTCGTTATTTCGCTTGGCGTTATTTCGCGGGCGACAAAGCGAAAAGACGAAATGTCATATATCAGCCACCATACTCACAGGAAGACAGTGACATGAGACCAGAGGACCTCAAGAAGGTCATATAGGAAACACATGGAATGCGGACGTACCGACCTCAGGTGCTTACACGAGTTCATAAGCTCGAGGTAGTCACGATTTTCGATGTTGAGGGAGTTTCGCTCTGTCGATTAAATCGTGTTTACAAATGTAGTCTACTTACTCTGTGAAAATAATGTTTTGTAAAATATCAAGATACCTATGAAATGCATGTGTGAGTGCACGTGAGAACGGCATACCATGCGATAGCCTCTGGTCATATATGTACCTGACATGTAATTATAAAAATACCATGAGTTAACGGACTGTGGAATGATGTCCAAAGTGTACATGACTGAGGGTAATTTGGTTCCATTAAAGAACAATAAATTGATAATTTTGGTATCATATTTTTGATTTATTTCCATCATTTTTGTTATATGTAAACAGAGACAACTGTCATTGTGTAAATGTCATCCCTCTGCAAAAAGTTCCGATTTTTTTCAAGGAAGATAACGCTCACCCGGATCAAAGTGCTTTGACTCGGGAAATAGTCCTGGCCTCGGGGGATCATAAACTTGCGATATCCCTCATACCCATACTTTAACTGTTAACTATACGCACGCATGTGTTACCGCTCTTATTATACTATATAGTATATACCGCTATCAGGGGGTCGTATCGAGAGTCAATCTTTACCCATATAACTTCTAATGTTTCTCTCAGGATAGGTCCAATTATTTCAACTGTTTCAAATTCTCAGGTTCCTGTGACATATACTGCCTATTCTTCTTTAACTGGTAGTGACTTATGTGTCATGGACATGCCAAATAATATAGAAATATTTAACGCATTCACCCCTGAAATTTCAAAATTAACTATTCCAACCTTTGAATTGGAAGAGTTCAAATGTGTCTTCAGGGGTAAATGAGTTAATATAGAATATGACAATTGACAAATTCACTGACTTTCACTTAGGACAGTTACTAAAATACTGGTCATATTTTAAAACACAAGTTATCATATATCAATATATATCGGTGTGTGTTGCAGGAAGCATGATGTCGTCTGGGCTATTGATTACAAACACACTCCACACCGGTACCACTACCCGCTTTCCTCATCTACATACACTATACGTGGTACATATCTGTAGTCTGACCGCATAAATCAACCTTACTTCATTCCAAATCCGTTTTTAATGTAGCTGTTATTAAATTTACACTCATGAATAATACCTTCCTTAGTTGTGTGTGGTTAAAGGTCGATGTGGGACATGTACACAATACATTTCAGCATAGTAAGAATATTGAGCATACAGATATATACATGACATGCTACAAAAGTGTGGAGATTTTCTTTAGTGAAAGAATCCTCATTTCTTTATTTAAGGATTGAACTGTTCAATACTTATATTTACGTTTTCTCTGCCTCTTATGTTCTTTTTTAACTTATAATTTATAATTAAAATTAAAAATGCCCGCCTTATCGACAGTCCACACAATTTCGTTCAATAGTTTGAACAGCGTATTGTCGCGTGCTGATTGGCATACAAAGTAGTACTTTGACATTTTAACAAACATTTCAAATTTATTCCACAATTTAGTATCAATACAGTTGCGTATGATATGTCTATAGGGTGATTCCAGTTTTTCAATAGAAATCTGAGCTGAAAGTTAGATTTGAAATTGTTTCGATTTTCCCCCGGTACAAATTTCTTGCATGGATAAATACAGTGAACACCATGAATGGGACATTGATCTCCACGAAGGGAGTTATTTTTGGAAGTTAATTCGAACTTATCTCTTTGCTCATTTTGTGAAGAACCAGGCGTGAATGTATTTGTTGATTGTATGGGAACCCGACAACAGTCGGTAGATTCTATAACAGCATCGTTATTTGACATGTCGTCTGAAACTGAGGAACCGTGGATCCGAGACGCGTGAAACTGATAGCGTTTGAAGTGAGTGATCTTGCGACGGAGCACAGGTTCGTTACAAATGTCTGAAATGACGAATGTTTATGTGTGCTGTGACTCATATCAGTAGGTCTGTAACATATGTGTCAGTAGGTCTATAGAATATGTGTATTTCAGACATTTATAACGAACCCCTGTTGATCAGTGCAGTGTAACAGACGATATTTCTGATAAATTGCATGAGCGTTAAAATTGTTTCCATTGCCGGCATTGGTGATTTCAACCGATGTGCATTTTGTACGATATTGCAGACCTTGGTCTTGTTTTCGTTGTAATAAAAGTGCTTTTTATTTTATTTTTTATTTTGCACATAAATTTACAATGACATTATCAAATCTCACAATGCCCAGCGATATTTCAGCAGCCGTCATGTTTATTTACATTGGATATTGTAGTTCCGGTCAGTTTTGTAATAAATACGCTAAGAATTGTGTCTCGTGCGGCATGGTAATTATGTCTCGTGCGGCATGGTAATTAAAGTCCCATCAACGACACAGCTTTCAAAGAGGCTTTATAGTGACAATGCCGTGCAAATGTAAATATAAAATAATAAGAGTTGATAAAGGTGATATTACGAGCGCTGTCTGCCATTATTCATTATAACTAGGGTTATTATAACAACGTTTAGCTGGTTAATAATTTACTCAGTAGGTTAACTCGTTACTTGATCAGAAGATTGTTCGAGTAGATGTAACAGGTTAGCAACCTTTGACCGACTTGACAACACTACTTATAACTTATCATTATTGCTTGTATAAAGTATATATACATATTTAACGATATGTATCTCATATGTTTATAAACCGAGATATATCATTACGTATATTTATTTTTCTACATAATCTATACATACACTACAGATATATTAAATAGTTTATAAGCGTTTTAATAAAACTTTTGGAATGTTATGAAATATAAATTTTACATAAAATGACGCACACATATTACTAAGAACAGAATTCTCAACACGGATCCCTCTCTTGTTCCTGTTCTCTTCTTTATTTACAATGTATTGGTATTGGGGGTACAAAATGGGTGTATTGATTTAAAATGGTCTAAACAATAGCAGTGGATGTAATTCTAAACCAGAAAAGGACAAATATCTTTTGAAATATTAGTTCAGCTTAAGAGTGAGCGTGTCCATACGTGTAAGTTGACCTTCAGGACAGGTAGATGCCGTAAGTTGACCTTCAGGACAGGTAGATGCCAATGACAGTTGGAACGCAATGGTGGGTACTCATGCCGTTGATTCGTATACGTTTCCATAAGTGCAGGTCGATCATTGTGACGGTTGGATGGTCCGTATGGGTAGCTATACGTCACATTGTATAAGGTTTATATTGATTTGCACTACATCTCAAGGGTAGTCAAAGAAGTGTTGGACTTACATACTGACTGGGTGTGAACAAAAGCGTTCGTCAGAATTACACAATTAAGGAAGTGTTCCCAAAGGTAAGTCTTGTCTGTTAAAATTGATAAAGCCACAAACACACAAGCATACAAACATACACAGACAGACAGACATTTTTGTTCTTGATTCTTGACAAAGATATGCTACAACGAGTGACGGCTGATTATCTACTGTCATACTCGGTGCTTCCTTAGCAAATAATACATAATGTACACAGACGAACATTTTTAAAGTCGGAAGTCAAACCAATAATGGTAGACGTTATTGTACCAGAAATTTGCTTCCTTTTGTTTCAATTTGTTTCGTGACTAAGCTTCCTGATTGAACGATTTACCATACACAAACTTTTCTCATGCTGCTGACTTATGAAGGTCAATGTTTTGTATTTTGCTCATAAAAATAGGTCGTGTTTTGTTGTTACTACCCGAGTTGTCGATGTGAGGGACTTGCCATTACGCAGAGGCGACTTACAAGCAGAAGACGCTTACCCTTGTTAAACACTTTGTCTTATTTTCCTTGTATTTTTTCAAGGATTTCCATAAAAAATATTTCTTTTGTTCCTATTTTGCCCTGGTTTTATTGATTTTGTGTTCGAGATACGGTGTTGTTGGCACTTTGGTATTCTCTTTTTGATTTGTTTTATGCTACTAAATGATATAGTCAAATCACTCCTTGTAATAGATTTTATACAAGATCTGGTGGATTTTGTAGAATATAAGTTTTAAGAATTTGTTAAACTGTTATAAACTGATGAAACGTTTGTTTCACTTGTATATGAGAAATAAAAAGTAGTCTTGAAGATTTCATTTAGCAGCAATCAAAAAATAAAATGTTCACGATTTTTTGCTTGAATCTTGATATAAACTTTCAACATATAACATCAAATTAATTTCAGATATGATATCAATAGTGTATATGTTTTGATCTTAGTTTTAGAAAATCCAATACAAATATGTATTTCAATTAATTTATAGATGGAAAATGAGGTAAATCATCAATCAGGATCAATCAATGGAGATTCAAACTACAGGAAAACAAACGTGAAAGAGACATTGAAAAAGGGTACGAATACACCTATTGTTTTTTTTTTTATTAAGGTTGCCTATCCCACACTAGAGAGTTCCAATGTGATTTTTCGTATAAACAGAACATGTAACCCCCATTGACCTTGTAACTCAGCTGGTCAAAGCGACAGTATAACTGTCGGAGGTTCTGGCTTCGAATCCTAGAATCGCCGCGGTGCATGTTCAAATACACCCCATTGTTAGTAATTATATTTTAGTTATTTCTCCTTTTTTTATTTTTTCATTAAAGTTTGGCAAAGCTATAGTTTTCTTTTCAGAAAAGATTTTTTAAAGCTATAGTTATGCCAGAAAAACCCAACAGTTATCAATGCATATTTACAATATTTGCAGTGGTGCGGGTATCCTTAAATATCCTACTCAATATCTTCTCAATTAAAAGCCAAAAAGAAATAAGGAAATCGCTGTAAAACACTTATCATCAATCAATTTTAGCACAGATGTCTTTTTAACATAAAAAACATTTTCTTTATCATCGTCAGTGGCTCTACTTCAGAAGTTTCTGTAAATACAAACTTACATCATCATCGTCAACCTATTTAACGTGTTTACCTGTTCGTGAATTTAATATACTGAAGGAATTTTTTTTCTATTTTTGTCAGTTTATGAGGTGTTTACCTATGAACTGCGAGGTAATTTATTTCAAATGTGTGGCAAGACCCATTGAGGTCTATACTCCATAAATCTCAACGCAACAGGAATCAATCCTTATATTTACAAACATTTCGAACATTTTTTATTATTTCTACAAAAATGGACTTTAGCAAGTCTATGCCACAGAAGATGCCAACGCATGTTATGCCATCAATGACTGTGTGACGTCTTCCTGGTTAGATTACTTACTGTTTTATATTGATTACAGCGTTAACACAACATATTGACATTTGCTCTCCATCCTTCCATTGTAGTGGACCTATATAAGTCCTGTGATTGGTTGTAATTCATTTTTGTTCTATTGTGACGTCACGCCTAGGACAGTATAGCCCCTAGCATCACAGACGAATCCTAAAAGGAGAAATACCTGTGTGAGATAGTGTTATTCATTGTTATCACATAATGTACTGTGCTTTCCAGTGAATAAACCCATGTCATATTTTGTTTGCGTATGTGTATTACCTATAAGTCCTGTGATTGGTTGTAAGTATCAATTGTTTCAATTGTGACGTCACGCCTAGGACAAGTACATGACGTCACAGACTTACGCACTGGAGTCGAAATGGCGGCTTTTTACATTTCAAGGTTGCATGAAAAATGTCGTTTTACACGAATAAATGCCACAAATCTTGAGTTTGTGATGAAAAGGATCTAACACTCGTTATCATTTCATATGAAATTTATGAAACTCGTCACAAAGTTTTCATTTTAGCTCGCCAGAGGCTTGCTTAATTAATTCAAAAATTCTTAGATTCGTTTCATAAATCTCACATGAAATGGAAACTCATGTAACCCACAACACCATCTGCTGACTTTCTTTACCTTGTGTCAATTTTTAAGACCAAATTTTAGAACACGAGTTGCAATACCAATAATACAAAATTAAAATAATTTTAAGACATTTTAATATGCATGTATTATTCGTTAAAAATGGTTGTTTGTTTGTTAATGTGTTTGAGTGGTTTTACATCCGCTTCACTACCGAGTAGTTCGGTTATCCAGCAGACAAGGAGTGGCTGTTGTGGCTTGGGGCCTTAACGCGTATAACCTATTGAAACTTGCCAGTATAATATCAGATCTCGTTTGAAATTACGAAGACGAAAATAAAAACAATGATACATATAGACTGTCAGGGTTTTTTCATGCATCAATGTTAAGTAGGGTTTTACATGTATCGCGTTGTCACGCAGTAAATCAATTATACTCAAATACTATGAGCTAATCTCTGTAGGATCAAAAGATCTAGAACAATATAATTAAAACAACTCTGTGGACAAACAACCAACATACGTTATACCAGCAGTAGTAGATATATAGGCACACGTTATACCAGCAGTAGTAGATATATAGGCACACATTATACCAGCAGTGGTAGATATATAGGAACACGTTATACCAGCAGTGGTAGATATCTAGACCCACATTATACCAGCAGTGGAAGATATATAGGCACACGTTATACCAGCAATGGTAGATATATAGGCACACGTTATACAAGCAGTGGTAGATATATAGGCACACGTTACATGAATACCAGCAGTGGTAGATATATAGGTACACGATATACCAGCAGTGGTAGATATACAGGCACACGTTATACCAGCAGTAGTAGATATATAGGCACCCGTTATACCAGCAGTGGTAGATATATATGCACACGTTACATGTACACCAGCAGTGGTATATATATAGGCACACGTTATACCAGCAGTAGTAGATATATAGGCACTCATTATACCAGCAGTGGGTGGTAGATATATAGGCACACGTTATACCAACAGTGGTAGATATATAGGCACACGTTATAACAGCATTGGTAGATATACAGGCACACGTTATACCAGCATTGGTACATATACAGGCACACGTTATACCGGCAGTGGTAGATATATAGGTACACGTTATACCAGCAGTGGTAGATATCTAGACCCACATTATACCAGCAGTGGAAGATATATAGGCACACGTTATTCCAACAGTGGTAGATATACAGACACTTGGTATACCACCAGCGGTAGATATATAGGCCCACGTTATACCAGCAGTGGTAGATATATGGGCACACGTTATACCAGCAGTAGTAGATATATAGGCACCCGTTATACCAGCAGTGGTAGATATATAGCCACACGTTATACCAGCAGTGGTAGATATCTAGACCCACATTATACCAGCAGTGGAAGATATATAGGCACACGTTATTCCAACAGTGGTAGATATACAGACACTTGTTATACCACATCTCTGTAGGATCAAAAGATCTAGAACAATATAATTAAAACAACTCTGTGGACAAACAACCAACATACGTTATACCAGCAGTAGTAGATATATAGGCACTCATTATACCAGCAGTGGGTGGTAGATATATAGGCACACGTTATAACAGCATTGGTAGATATACAGGCACACGTTATACCAGCATTGGTACATATACAGGCACACGTTATACCAGCAGTAGTAGATATATAGGCACACGTTATACCACCAGTGGTAGATATATAGGCACACGTTATCCCAGCAGTGGTAGATATATAGGCACACCTTATACCAGCATTGGTAGATATACAGGCACACGTTATACCAGCATTGGTACATATACAGGCACACGTTATACCAGCAGTGGTAGATAGACAGGCACACGTTATACCAGCAGTAGTAGATATATAGGCACACGTTATACCAACAGTGGTAGGTATACAGACACTTGTTAAACCACCAGTGGTAGATATATAGGCACACGTTACATGTATACCAGCAGTGGTATATATATAGGCACACGTTATACCAGCAGTGGTAGATATCTAGACCCACATTATACCAGCAGTGGAAGATATATAGGCACACGTTATACCAGCAATGGTAGATATATAGGCACACGTTATACCAGCAGTGGTAGATATATAGACCCACATTATACCAGCAGTGGAAGATATATAGGCACACGTTATACCAACAGTGGTAGATATACAGACACTTGTTATACCACCAGCGGTAGATATATAGGCACACGTTATACCAGCAGTGGTAGATATACAAGCACACGTTATACCAGCAGTGGTAGATATAATGATAGACACACATTATACCAGCAGTGGTAGATATATAGGCTCACGTTATACCAGCAGTGGTAGATATACATGTATAGGCACATGGGCATACTTCCTGGTTCACGTATCAATATGCTTGAATGACACAAACCAACGACTTTTCTTGACTGAATTCAAATGTTGAACAGCCTACCAACTAAAACCATAGCATGCAGTTATATTGACAAGATGAAAACGAACACAAGGTAGTTAAGAAAGTTTAATATGGTTTTTATAAGTACTGAACTTATTTTTTTTGATTCCCCCAACGTGACAATGGATCTTCTTACACCAGTGCGAAGTACAACACCCACTCAAGGTCAAAGACACAAAAGAATATTATGGTCGCCGCGTAATCCAATATACTGCTATTACTGAGCAACAACATCTTTCACAAATATTTTCTCGCTCAGTCGACTTACCATGATACCTGCTGTGACCCACTGCATGTTTGTAAGAGACGACTATTGTGAGAACCCGTGACTGAATTTTCTTCTTTGCACTCTTCTAGATGACACAAAAACAACTCAAATAAATCTGCCGAGTCCACTACAACATCTTGAATAATTTTCATCACCCTCTCTAATAAAATCTATAACCTGTAACTGAGCAAGATCAGGTTATCTCAGTCGAGGGGTAAGATTATGTAACAAAATCCCAACCGAGGCGTAAGTCGGTGTTGGGATGTTACAGCATCTTAGCCCGAGACTGAGATATCCCGATCTTGCTCAATTACAGGTAATTGGGGTTTTTTCTTGCACCTTTTATATAGTTAAAAAAAACCTATTCAATTTTGCTAAAAACTACAAGTATCCCGCCTTGGGCCTCAAGTAATAATTTGAATGCTTTCGCGTAAAAACGTAGTCCGTCCTTACATAGATTACAATGTATTTTGCAGTGTTGATTATATCTTATCTACAACATCAAATATCTTACAACATCAAAACTGAACATATAACGACTAAACAGAACATAAATAATGCAAATTGTCTATTTCAAGCAGTTAACGCGGATAAATAAAACGCAGTTTAAAAACTCCGCGAAATGTCACGTAAAGGTACAAGACAGATCGGACGAGATAGAAAAAATCTAGCATGGGGTATGGCGTGGGATATCTCTGTCTGAGGTGCAAGAATTCCTGATATCTCACGTTTTATTAATAGCTGACTTTGCAATACTATTGATGCTACATGGATTGCATTAGTATCAATAATGCAGCCGAGTTTGATCTTATTGAATGCAGGTTGCTGGTGCTATATTTGACTTGCTTGTCATGCTTCAATGTCTTGGAAGTTTTCAGGTTAAGAATTGCATCATCCCTATATTAACCTACTTTTTAATGCTGTTTTACCTGGCTTCCTCTATACCAATTAGAGCATTTTTATCGGTCTATTTTCAGCATCAAAGAGAATGCATGAGTTCTTCCAGTGAATTCCTAACTTGGACATTTGATTAATAACATTATTTTCAGTAGGGCATCTCATTAATACCTGAGAAGAGATAGCACAGGAGCTGGGTTTTTTTTATTTCGTTTCACCTGGCTGAACAGGAGCTCAGTTGTTTGTGTGTGTGAGTGTGTGTGTTATAACTTTATTGATATTTTTGTTCGTAATATAGAATTTACGTTCTTTCAAGGTGGTGATTAGGGAAATGGTTTATGGACATTCAGCCGTGGCGCAAATTAACTTTATCCACAAGCATGCAAAACAGCCTCAAACAAGGTAATGAATCAATACATTATGTAGATTTCATTCAGGTAACAGGTGTTTATATTCCCTGTCTGTAGTTTATATTTTTTGCCATTAGTGTTATTAGTAGTAGTTGTAGTTGTTGTTGTAGTAGTAGTTGTAGTTGTTGTTGTAGTAGTAGTTATTGTTGTTGTTGTTGTAGTAGTAGTATTAGTTGTAGTCGTTGTTGTTGTTGTTGTTGTTGTTGTAGTAGTAGTAGTAGTTGTAGTTGTTGTTGTTGTAGTTGTTGTTGTTGTAGTAGTAGTTGTAGTTGTTGTTGTTGTAGTTGTTGTTGTTGTTGTTGTTGTTGTTGTTGTTGTTGTTGTTGTTGTTAAGAAAGTAGATCATGAGAAGCTCCTTAATTGTGATATTGCTGTGTTTCATTTTAGCCCATTCACTCAAAGTGACAAAATAAACCAACATATTAGTAGATTTGGAGCAGGTCATGTTACATAATTTATTTTGCAATTTTTTTCTCTTGCTGCATATATAACATTTATTTTGTTATTGTTTTCTTTGGTTTTTCTTGTGTTTCAGTTTTGAAATTTCCAAAACTTCGATGGGTCGTTTTTACGGCGGTCGTGTTTACAAACCACTTTCATCATATACAACTACTAAGTAAAAATTGTCCCAGAACCAAAACTTCTGAACATAAACGTACCATTTGGAAGTGCTGCTTTAGTCGATAGAAAACGTTATCTATGTCCAATCTATGCATCAACGTATGGCATCGGGTTAGACCATAACTTCACAGTTGTAGTGTTTCGGAGAAATAAATTATATAAAAGATTTGAGAATACAATGTATACCTGTGCAGAATTTAGACGGTAAATGTACAGGCGATGCACAATTTATACAGGAAACACATAAGGATTCATGAACTGTTCAAATTTTCGTTAAAACATACTGTCCATCGTATAAAAGGATATTTGCATTCTTGGAAATATTTTAAACGTTATTTTGATATTAAGCATCAATTTGTATTCAAGCATTCAATACGAACTAAAGAGAGGAGGACTTTAAAAGAACTTTCTATCCATATAACACTATCACAACTGTAGGAATACATCTTCGTCGAAGGGATTTCGTAACACAAAATATAGTTATTGTCGATAATGAATATTTCGATAGAGTAAAACAGTATTTTCTAAATAGATATCAAAATGTTCTTTTCGTCGTTGCTACGTCACAAAATAAAGAAAACCGGAAGGGGTGTGGATATAATATAATGAACGGAAACGGGAGAGAGATTTTTTCCGTACTCGAAACGAATTTGAAGATATGGCAATTTTAACTATTACAGATCATGTGATTTTATCTGTTTGGACGTTTGGCTGGTGGTCGGTATGGCAAGCCAAGTTGTCATTTATGCATGGAGCAATGTTGATCCAGTACTTAACCAAATTATATAAGATATCTTATATAAGTAAATAAGATATCTTATATAATTAAATAAGATATCTTATATAGTATATAAGATATCTTATAAACAAAATTAAATGAGATATCTTATATAATATATAAGATTTCTTATAAACAAAATTAAATGAGATATCTTATATACTTTATAAGATATCTTATATATTATATAAGATATCTCATTTAATTTTGTTTATAAGATATCTTATAAAATATATAAGATATCTTATAAACAAAATTAAATGAGATATCTTATATAATTCGGTTATAAGATAACTTATAAAGAACGAGATTTGAATTTGAGATAATAATCCCTCCTCAACAGCGCTCGGTAAAGCATTAAATCGAAAGCCTTAGTTTCGTATCTCTTAACCGGAAATGAAGTATGTGAAAGTGAAAGTAGGAGTTTAATGCCACCAAATAAGTCTGGTTATAGCGGTATTAACATTATTTTAAAAGGTTAAGCTTTATAAAGTAGATGGGGGTAGGTGGTGGAGAAAGGGATGTTCCTATGTATTTCATAACTGAAGGAAAACGGTCCTACTGCATGTATTACATGTACTTACAATTTATTCATTAAAATGTTTTATCTTGATTTTCTTCACGGATTTCCTCTAAATGTTTTTAAAGTAATTTGATAAAATTGTAATGTTACCCGTACAAATTCACAGACAGGTAATGGACATTTATTAATTGTTTTCAGACTGATTATAAACTTGTATTAACTATAACAAATATATTAGGAACATTTATTAATTGTTTTGGGCTGCTTATCACAGACCGCATTAAGGTGTCTGTGGAGTATAACATATAGATAGACATAGGAACATATTTTTTTATTTACTGTTTCAGACTGGTCATACACCTGTATTTATTATCACAGACAGGCTATGGATCTTTAATTATATTGTTTCAGATAAAATTGTTTTAACTATCACAGACATTAAGGAACATACTTATGTATTTGTAATTCTATGTTCTATCAATATACTGTAATGT